TACTTCCCTTTTTTTGAAGGATCAACCCATCAGCTCCCACTGGCCTCTTCCATCCGTTTGATCCAACCCTCAGCCCGCCGCATGCGTTTGTGCACAAGTTACTGGACCGCAATGAGTGGAAGGGCCATCCAGAAGCTTTCAAAGCGATTGAAAATGAGAAACGGGGTCTTCTTGCCAATGGGACATGGGATGAATCCAACATTCGACCAAAGTCTGAGATTTAAACTATGGCTCAATCAACTGGCAATAAGATTCATATTGGGTCTCTCATGGTTATTGTGAGCATCAAGGTTTTGAAAAACCATCCAGTGAATGGATTGTCAAAGCTCGAATTGTGTTTCGAGGAGACGCAGTCAAGGATGAGAATCAAGCAGCAGTGTTTGACGACATTGCAGCCTCAGCTTCCACCAGCCTTGGTGGACTTGACTTGATTGTGGCTTATGAACTCCTTGATGGCAATGAAACTTCCACCAGCGATTGCATCAAAGCATATGTTCAGTCTCTTTTGAATTCATCCGAACCTACTTATGTATTTTTACCCATCGAGTTGGTTCCAGATCATGCTAAGCATATCCATCAGCCTTGCACCCCACTCATCAAATCATTGTACGGTCATCCGTTGGCCAGTGCGTCTTGGAAGAACCATCTCTCGAAAGTCCTTGCCCAAGAATTAGGGGGGTTTGAATTTGAACAGCTACCATCATGCTTTTATTTTCCAAGTCTTCGTTTGGCATTGTCAGTTTACGTGGACGACTTGACATTGTCTGGTACCAGTGCCAATCACTCCAAGTTTTGGGAAGTCTTGAGAAAGGTTGTGCAGCTTGAAGATCCAGCGCCACTTTCAAACGTTTTGGGCAGAGGTCACGTCAGGCATGATGGAGGCTTAGCTCTTCACCCCGCTGATTTTGCAAGGCAGTGTGTCAAACTTTTCGAAGAACTTTCAGGTAAACCTGTCAAACATGTTCGCACTCCTCATGTGGATGAGGGTAGTCTTTTGGCTACTGATCAGGCTGACAGAGGGCAGTTATCCAACGTCGCCCCCAAGCTTGTGATGAAGTTTATGTGGCTTGGTCGTATCAGCAGACCAGACCTTGTGGTAGCGATCAATGTTTGTGCAGGTCACATCACCAAATCGACCGTCAATGATGACAAGCGTATGACCAGGCTTGCTGGCTATGTTGCCGCAACTCTGGACCACTGTCATGTCATGCGTGTTCTTGACAAGCCGTCTGACCTGCGATTGTCATTATACGCTGATGCCGATTTTGGCAGTGCACCTGATATGAGATCAACCTCCGGGTACCTGCTTGCACTTGAAGGTCCGCGATCTTTCGCTTTGATTTTATGGTGTAGCAAGCGGCAGCGTGCAGGTTCGAGACCAACCACCGAAGCTGAATTCGTTTCAGTGTCTACATATCTAATTGCTGAAGCAGTGCCGTTGCTTGAGATTTGCCAGCAGCTCATCACACCCGAGATCCTGTTGAATTGCTATGAGGACAATCAGGCTGTTCTCGCCATCATTGCCCGGGGGTTCTCACCCAAGTTAAGGCATTTGAGCAAGTTTCATAAAATCAACGTTGCTTCAACCCGTGAGGCTTTCAACGAGCATGACATCAATGCAGAATACATTGAGACGCTTAAGCAGCGAACCGATGTACTCACAGTCCCGAAGTGTGTCTGCGTGGGATTCTGCACTCAAGCTTCTTCACACAGTGTCGCTCAAGACCTGAAGCTTTTTCTCCTAAGTGAGTGTCACATTCCGTATGCATTCAGGACGTCCGTTTTCTTTCCACGACCGATGGCATCAAAAACCTGACATTGTTTCACACTCGAGTGTGCATCATGTATAGTGGATGTGACTAAGTCCCATCTGCTTTAATTCTTATAGATTTCTCGGATTTTGCGTAGTCACTTCCTCGAATTTCGCCTGGACAGTAACTGTCTTTCACCCTTTTGGCCCGTGAATTTTAGGCTGCGTCAGCGCTACATTCACGTGTGCCGCCCAGTTAATGCCGAGTTTGGCTGCTTTGCGCCTCCTCTCAAGCATCCGTTAATTAATGCATCCGCACAGTAGTGCGTGAAATCGCCAGGCATGTCGAGATCACCGAATTGATTTCTGCCATCTCTTGCCTGGAATCCATCTTGAAGAGCTATGAGATTTGCATTCGTCCGTAAGCCATGATCAACCCACGAGTAGGATGCATTTATCAGTGTTAGGAATAGCAACCCTGTACAGTTCGTCGTCAGGGGGGACTTGAAGAATATGGTGTAAATCATACCCATATTTTTCAGTGTCAAGACCCCTTCTGAACAATGTTGTTATTGCTTGTTTGGCTCAAGATGAAAACAGACCGCAGCCGCTGCCTCGGGCTCATGTGCGGTTTGTGATTAGTGGTTTTAGTAAACCCCTCTGTTGTTAATTCGGCTGTTGTCAAGCGTTTTAAGTATAAAAGCAAGGACTTCCATGAGATCATGTAAGGATTCCGGACAGATTTCAGCAAAACTTTTGAAGACCTCCGCGCAGAGACTTGTACAAGGTGATGCGATGGCTTCTGACAGCATGACACCAGGATCTCGACAAAAACTGCTCACACGGACTTGTGCAAGACCTTGACCAAGATCTTCATGCCAGGCACCCGAGGAGAACGTCACAAGATCATAATAAGAGGACCTGCTGAAGATCCCTTGCTAAAGATTTGCGCAGGATCATGCAAAGCATCTTCAAGATCTTAATGCAAAACCTCGTCGCGAGGATTAGAACAGGATCTCCACATTTTTTCAGAAGGATGTGTACAAATCATAAAAGTCGCCAAGGGACACGCAGAGGATTTTACTTCAAGATCTTCTCACAAGGACCTGTGCAGGATCATGCAAGACAACTTTTCACTAGGAACCCCATATATCTCCACAAAATTTTCTCACAGGACCTGTGCCAGATTATGCAAGAATTGCTTGAATGATTGCAGTAAGATTTCAAAAACATCTTCTCACAAGGGCGGGCAACGACTTTTGCACGATCCCCACAAGATCCTTTAGGAGGACCTGTGCATAATGAAGCACGGACATCATCGCCAGGACCTCCACAAGATCTGCTCAGAAGGACCTGTGCGGGGGAGGGCCGCACCCGGATTCTCAGAAATTTTCGCGTTACGAGCGGCGCAAGATCATGTAGGGACGTCTTGGGGAGGAAACCAGGATCTTCACGATTTCTGTTCACAAGGACCTGTACAAGATAATGCAAAGACCTCTTATACAGGGCTTGATTGAGATCTCGGGAGGATCTTCTCACAAGGACCTGCCCGATCCAATTTCAGAGCCGCACGTTTGGTGCGAACCTGCGCAGTCGAAAACCAGGTGGATCTCAGCAGAGCCATTGTGTGGCCGAGAATTGACGGGGAAAATGCTACGCCTCAGAAGTGAACTGTGCGTGTTGTGCGGCCGTGCGCAGTCGAAATGCCTTCGAAATGCATTGCTGCTGCTGAATTTCGGCATTTCAGAAGAACTTTTTGGCGCGAAAATTTCCACGAAAAACAGCCGCGCCCCAGAAGATAGCCGTGCGTTTTGTGATCGTTTTGTGTGAGCCTGCACACCCCTCTTCTTGTAGGCTTGGAGCAGAGTGAGGTATGCATTTTTGGGGGCCTAAGCTCCCTCCGCACCTCCCTCAATGCCCTTGATTCAACCAGGCAAAGTCATAAGGCTGGTACATGGTCAGTTCGCTCTTGGCATGATCAAGAGATTCGGATAACAGCTCGTGTGCGGAAATGCATGAGTCCGAGGGCCGAGGGGAGGCCATGTTACCAACCAGTGATAATCCTTCCCATCTCCTGTCACTTTCGGCCTTATAACGTTTGCTGCGGTGTTGAACGTTGAAGGACAAGGGCAAAGGTGCTATGGCCACCCGTTTTGACATGTGATCGAAGAATGGTGCCCATCATGGAACACGAACTCAAAAACTCAACATTGCACACGCGCCAAGTTCCTTCCGACCCGGTGGGAACATCGGTCGAAACCAAATATGCGGGAATCATGCATTTATCGATTCAGCCGTTTCTCGGGGTAAGTGCCCGTGGTTCTCGTGATAATGTCAATCCAAACTCGAGTAACATTTGCACAGGTTATAACATTTGCATTGGTTATGATATTCCTGTTGGGTGCATTTTTTTCTGCCAACCTGTCGGATTTGTTGGACGAACATTGAGCGAACATGTTTGAACGACGTATGCCGTCAGATTTGTCAGATTTGTGGCCATGGGTTCGCGCATTTCATTTTTATTCATTTTTGACACAATGGCAGGCAGCTGGGATCAAAACGTCGGCTATGGGAGGCTTTTGTTTGTGTTTCGAAATGTTTCAGCTTCACATTTTGTTGTTGTTACTTCTTGAATGGAGGTATGGGTGCCAACATGTATGGAACTCAATCGTGTGGTGCCATTTTGTTCTTAAAACATTCATGCAACATGTTGTTTTTTCCTGTTTTGATTTGAGGCAATCCATACCTGCAGAAGAGTTTGCTTCTCAGAGTGCAGGTTGCAACCATTTGAGAATCCATTTGATCGCGTTTTTTTAGGCCGTTGGCTGTGACCTGGTTGGGGTCGGGCTCAGGTCAATCGGGTTTTGACCGGGCTTGGTGGGGTGCAGCGAAGTTCCGGACAAAAAATGTTTTTCCATTCGGTGCAAGTGCTTGAGGTGCTTCATTGTTGAAGGGTCCCATAGGGTCCCGATGTCCACGATCGGTTCGTCATCACTGACTTCTTTCCACCCTGAGTGTGTCTGCAGTTCTTGCTTTGTGAAATCAAAGGTCAGAGGTCAGAGTCGCAGCCTTGAAGATAGTTGGATGGCAAATTGTTCTGAAACAGTAGTATGCTATAGTATGCTGATAGGAACTCAAGTCCAGAAATCCCCAAACAACAACTTTCGGGCTGCAATCAAAATTTCCCACAGGCCCACGGCACGGCATTTGCAGAAAAAACAGCAGACAAATTTCAAACTTCCAAGCATTGCTGCTCGAAACTTTTCGGAGCCATGGATTCGACGTTGAAAAACGGCATCAATGGATTGCTCACGGACAAACCCTTGCTGCCCAGAGTGATTGAGTTTGTCAAAGCATCCGGAGCAGGCATATCTCAGAAGAGCAAAGATGTGGAGGATGAACCTCCACAACCACAGTATTCCCTGTTCTCGCGTGAACGTTTCCTGTCCCTCTTTGAGGAAGTGAGTCCCAGAAGAGTCGGACGTGGATTGCATAATCTCGGCAACACGTGTTTTTTCAACAGCGTGCTGCAAGTCCTAATGTACACTGGACCGTTGCAGAGGTTTCTGCTTTCCAAGCAGCACACGGCAGAATGCAAATGCAAGCGAGAGAGCACTGTTTGTACTCTCTGCTTGCTAGAGTCCCATGCTCTCGAAGTGTTTGACAGCAACAAGGCACCAATGAAGCCGGCGAAACTATTGAAACATATGCCGCAGATTGCCAGCAGATTCAAAGCACACGGGCGTCAAGAGGATGCCCATGAGTTCTTGATCCATTTTCTGGATTCGTGCCCTCAGCATGTTTCCCTGAGTTTCTCTCATTTGCTGTATTTTCTTGTTCAGAAGTCGTGCTACAAATTTCAGGAATCGCGGTGTCGAACCTCCCTGGGGTTGTGCCTGTCTTGCCAGGTGCCACAAATCTCTGCTGAAGCAAGCAGCACAGCAACCAGTTCCAAGGCCAGTGCAGAACTCAGTGAAGGTTAACCAGAAATAACCGGAACACAAAGGGTAGCCACAAGGTCTGCCCTCAGTTTTTCTCAGAACAGGGGAAGCCTGCAGCACCTCAACTTTTCTATGGAATGCAGTTTGCAACAAATCACACGTTCCCACCTCCGGCCCTGCCCTCTCCAATCACGTAGGAGATCTTTCTTTGCCGACCTAATCTCCTCCGGTCCGGTGTTAGCTATTGAGCTGATGCTTATTCATTATAGACACCATATCATGTCATGATCCATCTGTATTCTTATTGTGCACCCAATTCCTGCACTTCAGTTTGAAAGGGCATTGACCATAGTTGGATGCCTAGGTGCAACAGACCACTTCTATATGCCAGCTTTTTGGTGGATTTTTGCGATCTCAGGCTCGGCTCATTCAGCATCGTTCAATTTTGCATGGCATGAGTTTCTGCACTGGAACCAGTATGAACCAGCAGTTAACCAGCAGATAACCAGCAGATAACCAGGTATTGTGTCTGAAGTGCAAACATCCGCCGCGCCCTTGGCCTTGTTTAATTACTCGTATTGGGCCTCGAACACAATTATCACAATTGCATTTTAGACCTTTTTAACTGTTCCGGTCTTCAAGAGCACCGTGTTTTGGCATCTCAGGTCGAATACTTTCGATCCTTTCATGGACATCAGCCTGGAGGCACTGTTGGTTTTGTTTGATTGTACACGATGGTACTATAGGATAGGAATGTCATTTGTTTGTTACTCTGTCTTCGAGTCGCAGCTGGGCTGTGAGGTAAACAATGCTTCAACCCTGGAAAAGGCCCTGGATGCTTTCACGAAGAGCAGCATGGCTGCAGGAGAAGTGCAGCAGTTGATAGTTGAGCAGAGCTCAGACAATATCAAAGCAGAAATCTAAGGTGAACAGCTGAGGGGTGCCAACAAATACCAGTGCAAGAAATGTCAACAGAAGGTTGACGCCACCAAGACGTTCGCCACCCAGAAGTTCGTCACGGGCAATGAATGTGCAGAAGTTGAAACAAGTTGAAACGAGAAACATGGTACCCATGCTTGAAAACAAAATGACTTGAATATTTATGTGTGATGATGCTACGACAAAATGAACATCCCACGCTGCAAGCAGAAGTGCAACCGAATTTGACTATGTGGCCTCCTTGCTTGTAGGTTTTCAATTCACACAGCACCACCAGTGCTGAGCTTTCAACTCAAGCGCTTTGACTTTCTCCACGGTTTTCGTGGCTGCTGGTCTGCAAGAATTTTTGGGTTGTCGAGCACGCAGCAGTGAAGGGCCTATTGCCACTTATTGCTTCAGTCCTTGTAGTTGAGTGACAATATTTGTTTTCTCTAAAACCTTACTTTTTGTACGTCTTCCAGGGTCATTGCAACATGCACTGTTTTTTTTTTCTCAGCGTGTTGCATCATTTATCATGCGTTACCATATCCATGCATGTGCGTGTATACTGCACATGGTACTCACACCAGTTTGCGGCGTGGCATGAATTTCATCACGTGAAACAAGGTAAGCTGAAGAAGAAGGTGCAGTTTCCAGTGTCCATTCCCTAGCTTTTACCATTGCAAATTTGTTCTAGAATTCTTGACATAGCTGTTTTCTTCAAGGTCGTTGAACATAGCCCCGTATACCAGCCATAAAAACAGAGAGGCTGGCGCTGCAAACCACTCTGCAGCATTTGCTGAACATAACTGCGCAGAATTGGATTTCATATTATGAATTTTTGCCAAGTTCTGAGCGTGGAGACTTGGTCAGTGCAGGCAAAGTACAACCTGTACGGTCTAGTGGTGCACTGCTGCTTACTTGCATCAGCGCCGGCAGCTGCTTCAAAAGTTTGTTGAGATAGTGCAGAGGTCTTTTCAAGCAAATATTGTGAACGTTTCACGCGCCATCCGCACGGTGGTCAAATGCGATGCACGATAATGTAAAACAGAACTGCAGAATCAGCTGTTCCTCAAAACGTCAACTCAGGTGGGTCATCCGCCAAAAGCGGGCACTACATAGCATACGCAACTTGGTGTGCAGTGAAATTCCACAAACAGCTGGTGAGCTGGTAAAGTTTGATTTTGCTTAGCATGAAGCCGGGAGGCCAAGCACAATGGCAGTTGGTACTGCTTCAATGACCAGGATGCTTATTGATGGTTGCCAAATTGTTTCTGTTCCATGTGGTAGCTGCTGTCTTCTTCCCATGCAGTTTTGTAGTTGTGTATCAGCCTTCCGCTGGAGGACGTGAGACAAGTCAAGGAGCAACAAGTTCTACGAGAGGAGGCTGGAAGGGATGGGCTTTTGGCAGGTTGGGCCAGTTGATGCTCTCGCCAGTTGCCTGTGATGCTACACCGGTGTCACCTGAGCTACCTGTAAGGCATACCTGCTTTTCTACCAAGCAGCCGGGTCCCCAGACCCTTTCCAGTGCCACTACTTTTGCAAATATTGGAGGAGTTGAGCACTTGCAAGGCCAAGGCGCCACAGCCTCCACAGACTTCTCCAGACATTCCAGACCTACTGGCATCGGTGAAGCAGGCTGCACGAATCTGACGGGCTTTCGTGTGTGACAAGTTCGGCAATCCCTTGCATGGGGCCATTCTGGTACACTATTTGAGCGGATGTGTACCCTATGTTGCCCTTCTTGTCCCAGCATTCACGTGTTCTTCTCTATTCGGATCTGGGAAAGGCCGCCAGTGACCTAAACAAGGAGCATCTCCTGACCAATGGGAAGGCTGGAATCCCTTCCCTGTGACCGCCTGGCTTTGCATGGCTTTGAACCCTGGTTAGGTGCACAACGGAACATCGCTGAATGGGTTCAAGCACAATGGCACCGGGCTTAGCGAGTATTTTCCAACACATCTCCGGACCGGACTGTGGAGCTGCCTGAGGGGAGCACCTCAAAGAAGTGAACCTGGGGTTGGAGGTGGAGAGGCGGGTCCTTGAGTCCACACCGTAGCGTAGCGTGCTGTAGTTTGCTAAGTTTGCTGCAATCCTCCTGTTGTGCTTTAGTTGGGTACCCTATCCAGGCCAAAAGTGAAACGTTTGCGCTTATCTGAGAAGAAAGAGAAGAGTGAGAGCAGTGAGAAGGAGAGATTCAGCTGACTCAGATGTGATGAAAACGGTGCGGTCTCAGTGCAATGCGCAGATGACAGGAGCACTCTGAGCAATCCTCCCAATCGGACCGAAAGAAAGAGATTGGGCGAATCCCAAGGCGTTGGGCTTGTTGGCCCCATCACCTGAACCTGAAATATACTGCAGCTCCTTCCAACCACGCAGCAGTCCAGCAGGTCACGATCAAAGCCACTTCTCAAGCTCAAATTCTACCAGGTCGTATGGCTGAACATGGCTGAACTTGCATCGATTCCAGTGATTTGACAATGGCTAACGGTCGGCCAACGTGCTTGCGGAGAGTAGCCAGTTGAATCATGTTGAATCCCTTGCCAGGATCGGCTTGGCACTGAGAAGCGAAAGGCTTCAGCCACAGGCTTTTTCAGTTTTCAGTTGGGGTATATATTACTGCATACTGTATATTATACATAAAATTATATGCATATATTGTATACACCTAGCAGAATAGCGATCAGAGGTGATCAGACATCATGGCGAAAGGTTTGGGATGGGGTTTAGCATTTGCAGGTGATGACAGGTTGGCACCATTGACTCTGTCCGAGCTTCAGCCTATGGCCAAAATGTGCCACATCACTTGAGCAGAGGCGTAAGGACAGTCAGCATGTTGTGGATTGTTACGACATGCTATAATATACATACATACATACATACATGCATGCATGCATACATACATACATACATTACATTACATTACATTGCATTACATTGCATTACATTACATTACATTACATACATACATACATACATACATACAGTACATACATACAGTACATACATACATACATACATACATACATACATACATACATACATACATACATACATGCATACATGCATACATGCATACATGCATACATGCATACATGCATACATGCATACATGCATACATGCATACATGCATACATGCATACATACAGACATACAGACATACAGACATACAGACATACATACATACACAGACATACACAGACATACACAGACATACACGGACATAAACAGACATACACAGACATACACAGACATACACAGACATACGCAGACATACACAGACATACACAGACATACACAGACATACACAGACATGCACAGACATACACAGACATACACGGACATACATACATACACACAGACAGACAGACAGACAGACAGACATACATACATACATACATGGACATACATGGACATACATGGACATACATACATACATACGTACGTACGTACATACATACATACATACATACGACATACATACATACATACATACATGCATGCATGCATACATACATACATACATAGACATATATACATAGACATACATACATAGACATACATAGACATACATACATAGACATACATACATAGACATACATACACAGACAGACATACATAGACAAACAGACAGACAGACATACCTACATTACATACATTGATACATACATACAGTACAGTACATTACTTACATTACTTACATTACATTACATTACGTTACGTTACATTACATTACATTACATTACATACATTACATACATTACATAATATTACATACATTTACATTACATACATTACATACATTACATACATTACATACATTACACACAATTACATACAATTACATACAATTGCATAGATTACATACATTATGACATACAATTACATACATTACGCACATTACGTTCGTTACATTCATTACATTCATTACATTCATTTCATACATTATATACATTACAAACATTCCATGCATTCCATCCATTCCAATTTTTGAATTCCTTCCATTCCATTCCATTCCATTACATGACATTACACTCCATTCCATTGCATTGCATTACATTACATTACAACACAAACCAATACAATAACATACCATACATACATAAATCGATGCATACATACATACATACATACCATTACATACCATTACATACCATTACATACCATTACATACCATTACATACCATTACATACCATTACATACCATTACATTACACTACATTACACTACATTACACTACATTACACTACATTGAACTACATTACACTACATTACGCTACATTACATTACATCACATTACATTACATACATACCATACATACTATACATACATTACATTACATTACATTACATTACATACCATACCATACCATACCATACCATACATACATACATACATACATACATACATACATACATACATACATATGTGTATATATATATATATGTATTTGTTAAATGATGTTTAGTCTGGTGAGGTGTCATGCCTAAGGCCTCCCAAAAAGCAAAAAGTGGAGCAGCAAGATGTTGCTGAACGGGTGGCCTAAGAGTTGGCCTTTCGCTTGCGTTGCTTCCAGTCTTGTGCCTTCACACTTGTTACAACCTTGGATTGTTGTATTTCCTTCTGGCAGTTTGGACGTTCCTGGTTCATGATTTTTCCGATGTCGGTCTGAATTCGAAGGTGGCCGCCACAACAAACTATGCCCAGCAATATGGCCAGGCAGAGGCAAGTGTCAAGCTGCAGGTGGAAATCGAAAGTCAGAAGTCATGGAAAGTCAGCCTGTGATGGCAGCCTGTGGCTTGCGGCCACTTCTGGCAGGTGGATCACTGGGACGATGTGGACACACAGACAGATTCAAAGACCTTTGAAGAGGCAGTAGCAGTTGATGGATGCCAGTGGCCGCGAGTGGCCGCGAGTAGCCGCAGAGGCGGGGGAGACAGACCTCGCTGCTAGGCGCAAGAAAAGATGCAGCCACGGGTGCAACGAAGAGACGCCCTGGATAAAGAGTATGATGCCTGGCACTTAGCCATCTTAGCCTTCACCATGCATCACTCTCATCACATCCTGGCAACGTGTCCATGGCTGATCCTCAGGTAGGAAAGAAGAAGCACAAACCCAAACAAGCCAAGGAACTGTCACTTGAGATTGACTCTGTTTGACGTGAGACTGTGCAGTAGTAGCTAGTACCCCTTGAATCGACAAACTTACTGGTACAGACTGCTGATACTCCTGCCAGGCGGAATTCAACGGAAGGTCTGTTTTCGACCAAGAGGACATTCGTGCTACAAGTAAGTTGGATGGTGAATGTGGTGATTGTGGGCTGTCCCTTGATCTCTTCGATGGTATTCAATTTCTGCGACTGGCTGTTTGTACATCCTGGCACCTGGCGAAATGGTTGCCTTTCTGCCTGATGTGACTCCGGCGCCAGGAGCAGCGAAGGCGAGAAAAGAAAGCTGGAGGCCTTTAAGATGTTGTCCTCATTCTGACTTCCATGGTGCCAGAGATAAGTTTCAGAAAAGTGTTCCTGGGATATTTGCTGGTGCACATCTTGCTAAACCTGCTTGGAAGGTGGAGGCAAAGGCAGCAAAGGCAAAGGAAGCAAAGGAGGTAAAGGCAAAGGAGGCAAAGGAGACAAAGGAGGCAAAGGAGGCAAAGGAGGCAAAGGAAAAAGCAAAGGAAAAGGAAAAGGCAAGGCACTTCCTGAATGAATGCAGGAACTTGCTCGAGCACGCGCGAACACATGCTGTACTTCTCAACTATCGTCCGGAAAAGGCGGAAAGTCCAAAGGAAAGGGCAAGCGTTGAGGCCAGTGCTTTCAGGCGTGGCGGAACTTTGTGAACAACTAGAGTACACTTTGGAGAACCTTGCTGCACTTTGCTGGCAAGGCATTCGAAAGGCGCGAGGTTCTTGACTGGCATGTGTTTGCGGATAGTATTTGGTGCCATGTCAGTAAAATCAGTTGTGTAGAAGCGGTTTCGGCTTTGCAAATCGGCACAGCCCTGTACCTACACAAGACAAATGACCAGCTGATATGGCAACGAAATAGTATTGTTCTCTTTGCACCAAGCCAAGAAGCTTTTCTTGGCGTCGGTATCAATTGGCTAATCCCGTGCATCCAGCAAACATCGCCATGGGACTGCCGGAAAAACATGAACTGACAACTTTCAAAGTTACACTATGTTACGCTATGTTACACTCTTTCGTACTCTTTCTATCTCGTTCATTCTCGTCATATCTCGTCCTCTCTTTCCAGGCTTTGTTCCTGTGATGTTGTGCTGGATGGGCCGTGTTTCGCTTGGCTGGGGATGTTCTCCATAAACCGTCCTTCCAGCTGTCGGGCAGAGGGATGCAATGCATCAGACTCAGCCCTTGGCCACTTTGGGGGGCCACAGCACCGCCCCACAAGAATCGTATCACTTGATGTCGCAGATCGCTTGGAATCTTTGAGTTCCCACCAGCAACGCAGATGCAACATCATTTTTCACAGATTTTCGGAAGGGCAGATGAGAAAATCAATTTATTTAGTTGGATGGATCATTGCTTCCAACTTGCATTCTCTTCTGTGCGACTCAACATATGAGATGTTTGCACTGCAGAATATTGCTGGGTGCCTGCGGCCGCTTCGGAAGTAAAAAGGAGGCCAAACCGCTTGAGAATTCCTGCGGCCAACTCTGCGAAGTCATTGGAGTTGCTGCAATTCCTGGGACAAGGTATTGGAATATTGGAATGCCTTTTTCATCCTGCAGCCATCGCGTAGGCCCAAAGATGGCAACGCTGACGCAGAAAATAGCAGACTGGGTCACCAAGTATGGCTTTGAACGCATTGCCTTGCAATTCCCGGACGCCCTTCTAGCTGACGCACCTGAAATACTACAAAAGGTTTGCTTTGCTCTGAAGGAGCGACGCGTCTTTATTCTTGGTGACTCGTCCTCCGGAGGAGGTGGTGTTGATGAGGTGGGTGCACTACACTACGGGGCTGATTGCATCGTACGCTTTGGGAATGCAGAACAGCAAAGAGGTGGCGACTTGCCCGTTCTCTTTGTGTTTGGGGATGATGACAGCTCGGACGCTTTCTGTGTTGGAGATGCGGATGAAGTGGTTCGCCGCGTTGACGGCTTGTTTGCAAAACAAGGGCATTCTGAAGCTGATGCCTCTCGACTTGCTGCGGAGTGCGTAAGTTTCCTTTCTTATCCAATAACTTTTGTCCCAATGAACTTTGAGATCTAGTCCTTACCAACCTGCCCACCTAAGCGCCCACTTACCCATCCACCTACCCATGCACCTGCCCACCACACCCAGAGATGCACAGAGTATCCATCTTGCTGCACGTGTGGGTGTGCATTCAAATCAACCATCAATTACTGATATCACTATCTCCTGTAAAGATTCACCGACCCATTTTCGAACTCAAGGATCTAAAAATAGATCTATCATGCTCATGCACAAATTCAAATGCATTTGCAAATGCATGAGTGTAGACACTCTAATTTCTGTTATAGTTATCACTGGAGTACTCTGAGCTTGTGGGAATCAAAATGCCATTATGAAATGATATACTTATACAACATATTTATATGTACATATAGTTATATATATATATATATTTTTATACGTATATATATATATATATTATATACACATATGAATATATATGATATGTATTGATATGTATTGTATATTTTTGTGCACACATACACTTATATATATAATTCAGTCTATATACTATATATATATGACACACATGACACGCGTGACACATTTAAAACACAATTCTATCTCTAGATTTATCGTAACCTTTACGTTTGCCAGTGCGCGTGTGATGAAGTGCAAGGAGATGAATGCACACCTTCTAGTTCTTTGCGACCTGCCCAACCAGCACCTCGCAGAACGGCTTGGAACGGCTCTTCTTGAAGGCTTTGGCAAGTCTTCCGCTTCAGGGCAGCCTCAATGGCATGTTCTGATGGCCATCCCACGACTGGAGGTCTTCTCTGGAGATGTACCAGTTTGGCATGATTTTCGTTGGGGATGCTTAGACATAGCAGATGGGTGGTGGTCTGCACTCGGAACTTTGACTTTGGCTGGAGCTGCAAGACCTCCCGTGTTGAAGGTGTGTGGGAGGGAAGTCCATGCTCTAGGGCCCAACGAGGAGACAGCCTCTGTTGCAGGCAGAGCTTTGCCACCCAACAGCGCGATCCTCTACGTTGGTCCCAGAGGGTCCACCTTGGAACGTTGTGTGCTTCTCGGTTATGGAGCCACCTGTCCGGTTTGGAGGCTGGAGAGATCCTGTGTGGAAGAAACGGACAGGAGACAGGCTCCATTGGAAAGGATTTTCAGCCATGCCTTGTTGCAGAAAAGATATCGTTTCGTGGAACTGGCCAAGGCAGCTGGCACCGTAGGACTGCTCCTGGTGGCAGCAGGTGGTCCAACTGCTTTAGGTCGAGCCTTGGCTCGTCGCTTGGAGCTGCTGCTCGCGAGGGCGGGACGGCAGTCATATCGTCTGGTGGTGGGGCAGCCAACCCAAGAGAAGCTGGGCAACTTCCCTGATATCGAATGCTATGTCTTGCTTTCGGGCCCCGAGCAGTTTACTTGGGAAGTGCGTGATTTGATGGTCCCGGTTTGTACGCCCTTCGAATTGGAAGTGGCTCTTGGCGCACGAAAATGGACAGGGGAATACATCACCGATTTGGAGGAGCTACTTCGAACTGCTCCAATGACCGAATTACTGTCCCAGACTTCCGAGGAAGGTCCAACTGTGGTTCAGACCCTTGGTGCCACCAAAATCAGGTCCTTTGAAAAGAGCTCTCAGCAGACTGCAGTTGGCAGCCAGAGCTCACAAAAGGACCGGGTTAAGCCTCCGCCAGCTAGCATCACTCCAGGCCTTCATGGTGTGCCGTGGAAGTACAGCCAAGAAGAGTCCTTTCAGAATGGATCTGGCAAGTCTTAGTTGGATGATGTTAGGCGCTAGTTGAGAACCTCTGTTATGCGGAGTGAGTCAACAACAATGGTGCAATGGCACCTGTGCGCCAAAACAGAGGGTGATGTTCAAGTTACTGTATTTCTGCTGGGTCCCGTTCACTTGTTCGCCGGGTAGCTGCAAGCCAGAAGACTTCCTCTTCTCAAGGCATGAAAGGCTAATGTGGAGTGCTGTCCGGTCTCCCAGTCTCCCAGCCTCCCAGTCTCCCAGCCTCTCAGTCTCTCAGTCTTTCAGTCTCTCAGTCTCTTTGTCTCTTTGTCTCTTTGTCTCTTTGTCTCTTTGTCTCTCTGTCTCTCTGTCTCTCTGTCTCTCTGTCTCTCTGTCTCTCTCTCTCTCTGTCCTGTCCTGTCCTGTGCTGTGCTGTCCTGTCCCTGTCCCTGTCCCTGTCCCTGTCCCTGTCCCTGTCCCTCCCTCCCTCTCTCTCTCTCCCCGTCTCTTCTTGTTAAAATGTTGTCTGTATTGCGTAGCTGCAGCACTCAACATGAGAGTGCATTCGCAAACTTATCATATCTATAGTGACAGCAAAACACTTAGAACGTAATTTGGAAAAAACGTTAGGGATGTTCTAAGAGAGTCAGTTAGAACGTTATTTTACCAACGTTCGAGGTGCAAACTAAGATCGTCCAGCAATAATAATTGGCAATTCATTTTTGACATCTTATGCCTGGGCTCCGTTGCAAGCCTTAAACATTGCGTCTGGGACCCCTGTAATTGTAGATAGGTTGCGAAACCTACACTTAGAGCGTCCCTCATATCTCTTTGACAAAAATCAAGGCATGCTATGGCATGCTCCCGTTTCTTTCTTTTGATGTTTTTTTGCATGAACTTTCCCTGGATTGCAAGCCTTTCACATACCGTAACGTCCAGGACCCCAGTAGAACTTACAACGTCCCACGTATCTCTTTGAAAAATCTGGAGGTTGAAAAATCTGGAGGCATGCTGTGGCATGCTCCCATTTCTTATTTTGGGGTCTGATGCATAGACTCCCTCTGGGTGTTAAGCCTTCAACATAGTGTCTTGGATCCTTGTGTAGATGTTTTGCAAAGCCTACACTTAGAACGTCCCACATATCTCTTGGAAAAAACTCAAGGCATGCTATGGCTTCTCCTTTTCTCGCTGTCTGTCTGCCTGCATGCCTGCCTGGCTTTCTTTGTTTCTTTGTTTCTTGCTTTCTTTCTTTCTTTCTTTCCTTCTTTCTTTCCTTCCTTCCTTCCTTCCTTGCTTTCTTTCTTTCTTTCTTTCTTTCTTTCTGTCTCTCTCTCTCTCTCTCTGAGTCTCTGTCGCACAACATGCAGCATGGCGGCCTGGAATCTAATAAGGGTCCTGGGGTACTGTCCAAACTGTTTGCCAGTTTGTTGTCCAGCATGATCATCTAGAATGGGCTTTGTCCAGCTTCCATGTATCTATGTCTTGCAGCATGGTTTGCTTGGATAGTGCGGGATTGGGATTGTGGCCCCAAGTCTGAAGCTTGTCCAGCAGTTTGTTGCCTTGCCTGCTTTGTCTCCCAGCATGTGGCCTGATGGGTCCGGGGGGGGGTGGGGTGTTGTTTTATTTCCCCACTTAGTGGTCTGTACATCCCATGATTTCTCCCGATCTGTCTTGAGGTTCTTAAGCTTGTCTCCCAAGCTGGCTGTGCAAAGCGTAATTGAAGGGTTTCTTAAGCGTACGTACATGAAAAGAATTTGACAATTTCCTTTTGCTATCTGGAGCCTCCTCGTCGGTCTAAAGTGTAGTATTGTGCTTTGGACACTGATGCCCTGTGACAATTCCAGGCCTCACTACAGGCATCCAACAGAATCACCCTGGTGCGTCGTAGCATTTTGCTCAAAAATTGCCAAACTATATCAAGCTCAGCTTGGCCATGGTTTCTTGGGAACCTAGTATCCAATCGGACTGAAAAGCCTAGGGATGCCGCATACTATTCTGTGATGGTTTATGTGCAACCACACACTTTCAGCATCTTTTCAGCTCATGTCTTTAAACCTCATAATTTCATGGAAACCTTATTAATGCGGGAAGGAATCAGCAGCCACAATAGCCACACTAGCCACAATATGCTGCACGTGTTCAGCACACTTCTTATTATTCCGCCCATCATGATGTGCGGAACACCCAGCATTCACCTGCCTGGTTTATCCAGTGCCTGGATCTCAACTTGTGGCTTTTGCTTGGACATTCTTGGATTTGAAGGGAACCTTCACCAAACCGGCTTCACATGATGCTTTCCCTCGACATGCTAGATCCGCACCCAGCCGTTTCTCTGACAAAGGCCTTTCGGCTGGAGCTATGCGACGCCACGTTGTGCCCGGGGCTCAGTGACATACATGCAGGCAAGACTGTGCTGTACCAACGGGTTTTCTGCTTTGCAATTTTTACAGCTCTGCCTAGGCGCAGAAACAAGCGTCGCCAGGTGCAGAATCCCAGGATTGTCGCAAAGTGTGAGGGGACCTTTGTCAAGTTGGAAAGCCAAGCCAAGGAAGACAAGAGCAACTGCTTGAATTCACTATCATTTGGGCTGTTTTGGTAACCGTCCTGCAGGTTGTCGAGGATTCGGAGGATGCAGATACATCGTCGTTTGGTTTTGTTCAGCTCGCTCCCAACTCAGCTGGCCTGAAAGGGCCTGAGCTCTTGACTTCGGCAATGCCGCGCGAGTACTGCTAGCTTGCAGTGCCCAGCTTCCTGCACTTTCAGATTTGCTTTCTGGATGCGTGCCTTTCTGGATGTGTGACTGTCCAAAAGGTTACCCACGCATTTCGAATCTTTCACGCCATTGATCATTCCATTTTCCGGCCAGCTCTGCATCAGTTTGAGGTAGCGGTGTCCGTTTGCATCATCGGTCTGTTGGCGATTGTGTTTGCCACCCAGTTGACGGGTCAAAACAGGCCCAGCTATTTCCAGCTTCACACTTGTAGGACTTGCTTTCGGTGATGAGCTGAGGTTACAATTCCGTTTGGTGGCATCGGACAGAGGCCGGCAGAAAACAACTCACAAGACTCAAGTTGGAACCAAACCCTCTGCTGGCATCTGCTTGATAGGACCTCAACTCCGGCATGATTTGGGCCAAGCCTTTCGTCGAAGGCTGCCAGTGAAGTCTCAGCCACAGAGTCGAATGATGAGCGACGGTGTCAAGACGATTCTTGTATCAACTTGGGTGATAGATGGGTGATAGCAGCTTGGGCCCAGCTCCTGCACAGCCAATCATGTTGTCTTGATGCCCGAGATTATCGAGGCTTGGAACTGCCGAGTTTCGCCCTACACCAAGTGCGAATGTGTTGCAGCTTACTATGATGCTGTGAGCGCTGTTTGACTCACTGAGGAGCGCGCAGAGAGGCTTGGACAGACGTTCATTTTTGGAAGAACTTTTCTGCTAGCCGCTCCGCCTTTCAGGAGAGATCAGGAATACTCAGCACTTCCAAGTCCCAAGCTCAGAATCCTTCACATAAAGGTGGGGTTCCCACGATATCCAAAGGTTGATCTTTTCCACCCATTTTGATCCTCTTTTATTTTGTGGGTCTGATGACAGAGGGTAAGAACTTGTAAGAACTACTGTACCATTACTGTACCCAGTTGGCGAGGCAAGAGCTCAAGGACTTGGGCGTGGTGCCCTCCACGGTTGAAACCTCAGAGCTGCCAAGAGTGAAATTGGCCTTGCCGGGCCTTGCCGCTGAGCCAAGGATGATTTGACCCAGCAGCTGGCAGAGATAGACCGAGTTCAAAAGAAAGCTGCAGAGACACTGAGCCCGGAGCCCATGCTGAGTGCGTGAGCCCGGAGCCCATGCTGAGTGCGAGCTGATTAGATTAGATTAGCATAGATTAGCTGATTAGCCACCATGCCATAGTATTGAATCATTTCCGAAGAGTCTTTGAAGCTAGTCATCAGCTAGTCATCAGCTAGTAATCAGCCATGGTGGCATGTTGTGGCTGCAAGGCCGGCGGCCTGCTCCTGCCCCACAAACGGTGGAAAAGATGGAGATGGAGAGCGTCCCAACTGAGAGGTGATGCACCTGTTTCGAATCCATGGGTCCACGGGGCCCCATGCAGCTGCTGACCTGATTGTTGTTGAGATTATGAAGCAAGATGGCAGCTACATTTGTTACATGCAAGCATGTGCAATGTGCTACTTAGTTTGTAGGACTTGATAGGTGCGGCCGGCTTGGACAATCTTTGATAGCGTACTGATCTTTGTGGTGCCAACGCCAGTAAAGGCTATGCGCGTGTTGATATTTTGGGGGTGGGGGGGTGGGGGGGGGTAATATAACTAACGATCTTTTCGACTTCAACCACATGGTGCACATCTTGCACTTCGACACATGCGTCATGCTACGCTGCTGGACGTTCTCTTGCACTTCCACACAGTCCACACACATATGTCATGCTACGCTGCTGGACGTTCTCTTGCACTTACACACGCGCACACACACACACACGTCTTGCTACGCTGCTGGACGTTCTCTTGCATTTCCACGCATACGTCCTGCTACACTGCTGGACGTTCTGCCCCTTCTAGATTCTATTACTGTATAGCGACTGACTAGCAGATAGATTTTGTTTCTATTTTTTCTTTGGTTTTTGCCTCGCAAATATCTGCGAATTCTAAGTGCTAGAAAAAAACGGCTTAGAATTGTTTATACGTATTTCTAACAGATAGAATTCTTTTACACATAGAATTGTTTTGCTGTATGTGTGTGTTGTATATGTTCATGTGTGATACATTGATTACAGTATAAATAAATAAATAAATATATATATATATACATAAATAATCATAAATATCTATCACTGCCATTTTCTAAGGGAAACACCCAATGTATATACATAAATTTGATGGGCGATGTATGATGGATGAGAAATGCTTTGAAATGTTTTGAATACCAAACACAAAAACAAATAGATGGAGAAAAAAAATGCTCGAGAGATTGAAGGCACGTAAGCCACCACAAGAGTTTCAGGATGTTTGCCTCAAAATTTTTCTGTGCAGTTAGGGCTAGGCTACAACTGGAGGATTTCAATGTTGAAGGCCTTACACGCAGGCAATTTGCTGGCTTTCGTTATCAGAGCTGGCTTTCGTTCCTCCCTTCTCAGGTGTGAAGGACCTTCTGACAACCTGCTCATGTGTTGGGTTTGTGTCATGCATGCAGGCATTCAACTTCTAGTCCGGCTTCAGAGCACAGCAGGACTCGTCTAGAGGGTCCCGGGCCAGGTGCCAACTAACAAAGAACATTGTCTTGAAACGTGCCTTCATTGCCAGCAGGTTGGTGTAGGTTCTTGACATCAGGAGCTGTGCTTGGGACCGCCATGTCGGACGATATTTGGGTGAGTGCGCATTGCGTGCTTGAAAAAGGCAATGGATTCCCAAGAGGGTCCAAGCTGAACTTGCGTGAAATCATGAGACTTTATTAGTTAGATCACATTCGGTTTTCACAGAGTTCATCCATTGAGGTACCTGACTGCAGGTCAGAGCCTTGGACTTTCCATCATGAGAAATATAGAAACATCAGTAGACAAAACATAACCCAATGCTATCTAACGCAGTGATCTCTTGGCGCTTTCGCATGCTTTCGCCAAATTTCCTCCAGGGCAAGAGGTCGATCTCTTAGACGCACAAGAGAAGTTGGAGCCTCGCAACCTTCAATTGCCAGGGTCTTCAAAGGTTTCAGGATGTTTCAGGATGGGGGGAGGACGGGGAGGATGGGGAGCGTGGCCAATTCTCAGGTGCATCGCTGCCGGTGTGGCGACCTTAAAAAGTTGATCCATAACAAACGTGTTGGTGGCTTCATGGCGCTTCGCCAATAGCCTGGTCTGGTCTTTTGCAGCGCTTGGGCTCGAGAGTTTGAAGAACGTATACGGTCGCGCATGCAATTTCAATCCCCTGATTTTCAATGTTCCACACTCAGGAATCAAGGGGAGAGGCATTGTCACTGTCATTTCCCGCTCCCTGCAGAAATGTGTAATGCAACTCCTACTGATCAGGCTTGAGTAAAAGTATGTGAAAGTCAACTCAATGTGAAGCAGTGTTGACTGTAAACCATTAGCCACTAGACACAGAAACAAGAGAGGCTGCAATGGCCATGGTGCATTCACCGTGGAAGCGTTACCTGATATGTTGGGGTGTTATTTGGTCTTTGCAGGCCACTTTTTGTGGGTTTCCCGCGAGGGTTCGTCTGCGTCAGACTCTGGCACCTTTCCGAACATCCAAGTATCCAAAGGTTTCTCGGGCTGCTGGAAACAGAATGCTACATGCTATGCTGCATGTACAAAACATTGACGATAGCCTGAAGTTTTATCAAAATTTGGGCATGAAGGTGCTATCATGTAACCGACGCTCCAATGGCGCAGCGACAGCTTTTATTGGCTTCGGGGAACTCAGAGACATGGCTTCCTTTGCCCTGGAGCTGTCGGCGCCGCAGCCCAAAGTGGACCAGGCGAATCTTGCCCGGAAAGGAATAAGCATCGGAAGTTTCAAGGGCATCACTGTTTCCCAGCCAGCTGAGTTGGGAGGCGGTCAATTGGATCCAGATGGCTATCCAATTGGTATTCTACCCCAAACGCAGGCATCCATCGTCGCTTTGTGCTTGGAAACTTCAGATTTAGATTCCAGCATCTCTTTCTACACTCAAAAGCTTGGAATGTCTCGGGCCGAAGGGCCGGTCCAGCATGGTGAAGCAAACGTTTCCACCGACATTTGCTATTTGCAATATCCATCAGGTCCGCAAACATTTTTGTGTTTGCGGCAGTCCAATGTTCCAGTTGACCTTGGCACCGGCTTTGACCACTTGGTGATTTCCACTGCGGATGTTGAAGCTGCAGCCGCGCAGCTTCAAGAGAAAGGCGTCAAGATTGCCCTGCCCCCAACAGTGATGTTTGGTCTGAAAATCACAGGTGTTGTGGATGATGATGGCTATAAAATCTACTTAGTGGACGAAACAGATTTTCAGAAGGGAGCGTGAGCTAGGACGCAAAAAAGAGCTTTCTGTTCATGAGAAATGAGTTTCATGCTTATTCTTAACTCAGCTAGCCTCCAATTTCCAAGTGCTGGAATGCAACCCAGGATAGGAGGAAGTAGAATAGAAAGTACCACAGGGTGACTGGTGTTGCGTTGCCACCTTTTCAATCCCTTTGAGATACTCTGGGCTGCACGTTGCGTACTGAGGCCGCGTGCGCGGGGGTCACTTGCATGAGCTCTGCTGAACGCGTGGATCTTGACATTTTCTTCGAAGAGAGATCAAAACTCTGACATGAGAGGGAGAAGTAGATGTAAATCAGCATGGTATCGTGAATGCTGACAATGTGAGGACAGCAGTCAGCACATCAAATCAAATCAAGACATGCAAATTGATACAAATTCTGCGCACATGCCATGAAGATCCCTGAAGTATAGAGAGACACTAGTCACTATGCCATCTCTGCGGCTATATACTTGTAACTTGTAGATCTCTTCTCTGGCCAAGGTTGCAATCCTCGCCGTGGGGGACTTAATGTGATGGAAAGAATCTTGGGGTTTTCGATCATTTGGCTCTTTGAGCTTTAGGCGGCCTTCCGTACTTGGCACCCTCTCCTTCTGCTCAGGAGGCAGGGAAAGTAGAGGGACAAGTGACAAGTAGCAAGAAATGTGGCAAGGAACTCTTAGGCCCGCCAAAGACCCATGGCATCCATTGGACTGCCAGGTTTCCTACACAAAAAAGTGCCCGAAGACGGCTAGGGGACAATCCACGTCCAAGGCGTGATACGGTAGCTGGACTGATAGACATTTTGTTGCCACAAGAGGCCGCAAGGGCACTTGCTGTAAGCGCCCGCCAGTGGTGTCAAGGGACTTTTCAAGTTTAAAGTCATGGTGTGCCAATGGTGTGCTGGTTGCTGGAGGCTTCTCTCGTGCGAACTCCTGTGCAGCGAACCTCCCGAGAGCCATTGAGGCATAGACCAGGATGGCATGGACTAATGGACCACAGAGAGAAATCCAGGAGAACAACTTCAACTCATCATTCATAGTTACCTTTTTTCTGGAACGCGGTGGCACGTGGAAGGCCTGAGGATCTTTTAGTTGTGGCCCGATCCCCAGATGGGTCTTGCTTGCTGAGCTCTGTGTCACATACCTGGTGCATCAGGTGCTTGCACACAATCGGCCAGACTGCCTGGACAAGTGCATGAAAAAATTGGCTGAACTAGAGGAGGCCGTTTGCAGCCAAAGAGTTCCCATGGGTGACCTATATACTGCATTTGACTTCATGAGCGCCTTGCAGGTCAGAAATACCCGCATTGCCGTGTCTTTGGATGAGCCTGGTGCGTATGCAGCAATGGAAGCCATCGTGGGCAGCTCAGATGGGGCTCATGTATTGCAGCGAACAGCTGGACTTCCACAGTGTTTCAGTTTCATCACACTTTGATCATATGTTTTCATGTTTGATAATCCGTTAATATACACCTCATATCACCTGTACACTGCCTTGGAGGTTCAGCGGTATCGGGCAGACTTGCGGACGGAAGTATGGCGCAGCTCTTGGTGAGACCGCACCGTCCACACCTGGCACGCAACATCACGCAACACATTCGTACATCCACTGCATCCAAGATGTCCAAGATGTCCAAGTGACACATCCAGAGGCACAAAGCTGCGTTTGTTGGGAGGCGAGGCCCCGTGTTCGAGCCTCAGATACCACAAGCCGAGATGGCTCTGTAGCATCCTAGTCCTAGGTGCAACCACCAATCACAAGTTTTGGGCTTCCATTTCGTTTCAACAAGGAATTCAAAGACCGCAGTTTCCAAAATCTCGGAGCACTTCCGCTTTGCTCTCGAAGAGAGCTTCCAGCGTACCTTGCCTTGACATGGCTTGCCTAGATCAGGCAATCGACTTATTTCTGTGGGACGCTGTTCAACATGGCATGGTCTCATGGCGTGTCACAATGCAAAATATGCAAAGAGTTGAACTTCGAGAGAGATTGAGAACCAGAGCAAGAGAGCTACACACTACCTCCCAGCAGTCTGGCTGATTGCCGCTTCAGATGGTACCAGATGAGGTCAGGAAAACACAAATAGATTGATGCGATCACAACTGCACAACATCCAAAATCCTTGTGAGGTAAAGGCTTCGAGTTCGTTGTTTTTCTGGAGAATGACTTGTTTGTGGCTGGGATGCACTGTCCAGAAGCCAGCCAGATGAATCTAAGAATGTAAGTTTAAGATGTTTAAGAAAACATGTTCTTCATAGTTCAGTTGGCCTTCGGTGAATTCACTTGACTGAGCAGGTGGCACCCGACTTTTTGTGGTTGTTCCGAGCGACAGCATGGCTGCTGCAGGCAGGTTCAGCGCTAGAGATGCGACTCTGAGATGACGTCAACACGAGCAATATTGATTGCTAGCCGTTACTAGCCAAAGTAACAGCAAGAGCAGGAGGCCCCGATCCGGCATCTGCAGGAAGATGATTCGCTGTTCTGCGTATCTGCATGGAATGACAATGGTCGCTCCGCTGCAATTGCGGAGTTGATAGCTTCCAACCCTGCAGCGTCAAGCCCTGCATAGCCATCTTGCTGGCATCACTGTTGCCACATACACCGTCTACACCTGATTTGAATCCCATGCCCCACATTGTGTCCCAGGCATGCCTAACATGGTCTCCAACGAGACAAGGCTATTTCGTGGGTGGCCTCATTGATTCTCTGAATCCTTTACAAACTGAAAGCATTCACTAAGCCACCAAGCATGACACCATCACAATGTTCTGATTTGCTCCCAGCAAAGAGTGGTACCAGCACCGACCCCCAAGTTGCAGCAATCTGAAGCCTGGGTCAGACTGAGGTACAGACTACTTTCCAGGACTCGGCTGGATGATCCAGAACAAGACCTGGCACAAGATCAAGCAGGAGTTATGAATAGAGTCATGAAGACTCCATGACTCCATGACATTTGAAGCCGATGGAAGCTGATGGATGATGGATCAACGTTTGTGTTTCATTGAAGCGGCTCAGGAGTGGCCACGCTTCCCCAGCACAGGTGAAGACCTCGGCATGGTGAGGCAATTTGAGCCAAGTTTCAAGATTTTCCAGTGAAATGATGTGATGTGCTTGACTTATTTGACTTGAGTATTCAATAGTATTCATACGTTTCCGTACGGACACGCCATACATATGAGTCCGCGTGGGTGTACGCTTACTTTAGTGTGACCTGAGCCTGCTCTCAAGCTATATCCAATGGTCGAGAAGAGAAAATCACACAAACACTCCCAAAGAATAAGCACGACGTCAAATATGTTGAATGGCTTGAAGTTACATCCTGTCCACCATGTCCACCAGTACAGCATCGACATGAAGTTGCAAGGATGGGACCATTGGCTTCGGCATGGGTCTGGCCTATACCCCCGCGAATGTATTGCTCCTGAAGTCTCCAGGAGCCGCAGCCTTTTCAACACATATCTCGAAAGGTAGCGGTGAGCTACCTGAGTTCCCCCTTGCGTAGCAAGTATTAGGGGGCGAGCGGTGCAAGTGCAAGAGTTTGGGCCGGTTATGTCTCGGTCCGCCTTTCAAGGGGGGCCCCCCCCCCCCCACCCTTCGATTCCCCCCAGGTCCGCCTCTAAAGCCGGGTTTGCAACATAGGCGGACTACAAGGAAACGCCAACAGCCGCACATGCACTTTCATCCACCACGTTTACATACATCCCCACCCCAACCGAAGTCAAGCCCCGCACTGAAACTCGACAATGTCAGATTGCTCAAGAACTTTGTTTCGTTCACCCTAACAACCGCGATGAACAATGTCGTAGCAAGAACGTTGCGACGGACTGCGTTGCAGTAGTCTCAAAAATCGTACATGATATACCAGTAGTACCGCACAAGGCGGTGGCGGAAGTTTCAAAAATAGGAAACCTATACGAAAGATTGGTTGTTGTGAATCAGAGATGGCAGAGCGAAGCCACTGCTGGACTGAAAGGCGATTGATCTCTCTCACTCTTGTCTACCTGTCTATCTATCTATCTATCTATCTATCTATCTATCTATCTATCTATCTATCATATCTATCATATCTATCTATCTATCTATCTATCCATCTATCCATCTATCCATCTATCCATCTATCCATCTATCCATCTATCCATCTATCCATCTATCCATCTATCCATCTATCCATCTATTTCTCCCTCTATCTATCTATCTATCCATCTATCCATCTATCCATCTATCCATCTATTTCTCCCTCTATCTATCTATCTATCTATCGATCTATCGATCTATCGATCTATCGATCTATCGATCTATCCCTCTATCCCTCTATCCCTCTATCCCTCTATCTATCTATCTATCTATCTATCCTATCTATCCTATCTATCCTATCTATCCTATCTATCCTATCTATCCTATCTATCCTATCTATCCTATCTATCCTATCTATCCTATCTATCCTATCTATCCTATCTATCCTATCTACCCTATCTATCCTATCTATCCTATCTACCCTATCTATCCTATCTATCCTATCTATCCTATCTATCCTATCTATCCTATCTATCCTATCTATCCTATCTATCCTATCTATCCTATCTATCCTATCTATCCTATCTATCCTATCTATCCTATCTATCCTATCTATCCTATCTTTCCTATCTATCCTATCTTTCCTATCTATCCTATCTATCCTATCTATCCTATCTATCCTATCTATCCTATCTATCCTATCTATCCTATCTATCCTATCTATCCTATCTCTCCTATCTCTCCTATCTATCCTATCTATCCTATCTATCCTATCTATCCTATCTATCCTATCTATCCTATCTATCATATCTATCATATCTATCATATCTATCATATCTATCATATCTATCATATCTATCATATCTATCATATCAATCATATCAATCATATCAATCATATCAATCATATCAATCTATCAATCTATCAATCTATCAATCTATCAATCTATCAATCTATCAATCTATCATATCTATCATATCTATCATATCTATCATATCTATCATATCTATCATATCTATCTATCTATCTATCTGTCTATCTATCTATCTATCTGTCTATCTGTCTATCTATCTATCTATCTGTCTATCTATCTGTCTATCTATCTACCTATCCATCTATCCATCTATCCATCTATCCATCTATCCATCTATCCATCTATCCATCTATCCATCTATCCATCTATTCCCCCCTCTATCTATCCATCTATCCATCTATCCATCTATCCATCTATCCATCTATCCATCTATCCATCTATTTCTCCCTCTATCTATCTATCTATCTACCTAGCTATCTATCTATCTATCTATCTGTCTATCTGTCTATCTGTCTATCTATCTATCTATCTATCTGTCTATCTATCTATCTATCTATCCATCTATCCATCTATCCATCTATCCATCTATCCATCTACCCACCTATCCATCTATCCATCTATCCATCTATCCATCTATCCATCTATCCATCTATCCATCTATCCATCTATTTCTCCCTCTATCTATCCATCTATCCATCTATCCATCTATCCATCTATCCATCTATCCATCTATCCATCTATCCATCTATTTCTCCCTCTATCTATCTATCTATCTAGCTATCTATCTATCTATCTATCTAATCTATCTAATCTAATCTATCTATCTATCTATCTACCTATCTATCTATCTTATCTATCTTATCTATCTATTCTATCTATCTAATCTATCTATCTAATCTATCTATCTATCTATCTATCTAATCTATCTATCTGTCTAGCTGTCTACCTGTCTATCTTTTGTGCAGTGTCATTCAGTGTAATGTAGTGTAGTGTAATGTAGTGTAATGTAGTGGAGTGTAGTTGTAGTTGTAGGTGGTAGTGGAGTGTAGTGTAGAGTAGTGTCGTGAAGTGTAGCGGCAGGTAGTGTAGTGTAGTGTAATGTAGTGTCGTGTAGTGGAGTCTAGTGTAGTGTAATGTAGTGTAGTGTAAGGTAGTGTAGTGTAGTGGAGTGTAGTTGTGTAGTTTTAGTTGTAGTGTTGTGGAGTGTAGTGTAGTGTAAGGTAGTGTAGTGTAGTTTAATGTTGTGTAGTGGAGTGTAGTGGAGTGTAGTTGGGTAGGTGTAGTTGTATTTGCAGTGTAGTGGAGTGTAGTGTAGTGTAATGTAGTGAAATGTAGTGTAGAGAGTGTAGTGCAGTGTAATTTAGTGTAGTGGACTGTAGTGGACTGTAGTGGACTGTAGTTGTGTAGTTGTAGTTGTAACCTGTAGTGTTGTGAAGTGTAGTGTAATGTAATGTAGTGTAATGTAGTGTAGTGCAGCAAAGTGTAGTGTCATGTAGTGTAGTCGAGTTAAGCGAAGCAACATCTGAACCGCCAAAAGTGGTCCGAAACCCTAGTGTTTTTAACATGTTAACTTCCAAATCTGCTTCGCGCCACAACGGCGTGCACTTTTTCGAAACTCGACATCTCAGCCTCCAAAAGTGGTCCGAACATGGTGTGGTTTGTACATTTTGACTTCGAAATGTGCTTCGCGCCACAGCGGCGTGCACTTTTTCGAAACTCGACCTCTGAGCCTCCAAAAGTGGTTCGAACCCCTGGTGTTTTGCACATTTTGACTTCGAAATGTGCTTCGTGCCACAACGGCGTGCACTTTTTCGAAACTCGACCTCTGAGCCTCCAAAAGTGGTCCGAACCCCTAGTGTTTTTAACATTTTGACTTGGAAATGTGCTTCGCGCCACAACGGCGTGCACTTTTTCGACATCTTAAGTGCCAAAAGTGGTCCGCACTTGGTGTGTTTTCTACATTTTGACTTGGACATGTGCTTCGCGCCACAACGGTGTGCACTTTTTCGACATCGCAACTTCCAAAAGTGGTCAGACCCTGGTGTGTTTTGTACATTTTGACTTGGGGATGTGCTTCGCGCCACAACGGTGTGCACTTTTTCGACATCTGAAGCGCCAAAAGTGGTCCGATCCTCTGGTGTTTTGTGCATTTTGACTTGGAAATGTGCTTCGCGCCACAACGGCGTGCAATTTTTCATGTCTCATCTCCCCATATGTCTCCGCACCCGGCGCTTTAGCGAGCCTACTTTTCGACCCTCCGGAACCACAAATCATTGGAAAAACACAGTGAATCGCGACTTTCCTACCTTTTCGCGCATCTGCATCTTCTTTCTTCTGACTCTTTCTCTTCTGAACTTTCTCTTCTCTCTGCCTCTGCCCTGCTCTGCTTTTCATCTGTCCATATTGTCGGAAGTTTAGCTTCTCAACTTCCTTCGACAATATAGTTAAAGATATGTATCTATATAATTATATATATACACATAATAATTCCATGATATATATCCATATATACTAAATAATCTCAATATACATATAGATTCGTATATATATATATATATATATATGCATACTCTACCCAGCAATTGTGGGATATTGCGCTTTGGCTAGTGGTTGCCGAAGCATAATCGCTGCCCCTTGCTCAGCATATCTAGATCATTTGGTGGATTTTCCGCAAGGGTTCCTCCAAGATATTCTCTTCAACCAAAAGACTTCGCTAATGACATTTCAATATGTTTCATATATATGTATATTCGTATATATATAGTTATCATGTATAATAACTAGAACACCTATAATGACTAGAATTACTATAATAACTAGAACATAATTATCACAACTATATTGAACCCCCCCTTCGATTCCCCCAAGGTCCGCCTCTAAAGCCGCGTTTGCAAGAAGTCACCCCGCGGGCCCACTTTTTGCACCAAGATTCCAGCACCAGGATAGCCCTAAGTCAGTTGCTTTGGGTACATGCTGGGGTCAAAACACCACGTTTGTGAATCCCACACTGTTCTACACATGTACACACCAGAATCAACCCCATCCGCGTTGCAACAATGTGCTGCCCCCAGTTACACGTTGCCTCGCAAACCCCATAACCTGATATTTATACATATATCTAACTATATGTATGTATTTATATATATATATATGTCTGTGTGTCTGTGTGTGTGTCGTGTCCCCCCTCCCTGAAACCTACCTTTTTGGTACCCGCCCTCGAGTCCAAGCCCAGAAGACTTTTTTCGATATCCGCCCCAACTCCACCCACGTCCGTCCGCAGCGGATATGCCTCGTTCCCTTGCTCTCTTCTCCTGTTCCAACCCACGCCTACCTTTCGATCTTTCACCCTTCCCTCTCAAGTTTGATTCAAGAGGCCTCCTGCATCGAATTACTTTTCATTTCCCATGAGAAAGTGCCTTCAAGGACCCACCATTTTGACACCCGTGGTACGAATGTCTCAAGCTCAGGCTCAAAGCGACACCGCAACTTTCACGTTGTTTGCACAGGGGGTTGAGGCACCTTTTGGCCCTGAAGACGTTGCCAAAAGGTCACAAGATGTCACAAGTCATGATAGGGTCAATTACATGGGTTGAGGTGAAAACTGGCAGCCCAATCGCCAAGAAGCTGAGCGGGACAGCTGACTCCTCGATGTTCCTGGGGTATTTGGGTTGAACTGGGCAGACTGGGCGGATTGCAGCATGTCAGCCTTCACCAGCCGAAGGATGCCCTTCAGCAGCTTGAAACCTCAAAAGCTGGGTGACCTCAGCTACTTGATGCAAGAGAACTATGAGGCCCTTTGCTGAAAGATTTAAAGAACAGCTTGGCAGCGCAATTTTCGGGAATGGTTCACGGTGGCTAGTTTGTAGCGGCTTCGAGACGCGGCCTTGCCAGGAGCAGCTGCAGAGCAGCATGCGCCAAGCCAACCTGGTGACTGCAGAGCAGCTGGACAACCTGGACCACAACAAGGCGCGCCGCTGCTCAGCAGTGGCACATATCGATCTGCCATCTCGACTCCGCTTCACAGCCTTGATTTGGACACAATTTATCAAGCACTACAGTAGAAAGGAGCCCTCAGTTTGATGACAATCTTGTGCCTTGCAGAACGTGTCCTTGAAGTCTGACGTTTATTCCGAGTATCTCACATACTATCCCCCTCGTCACCTGCAGGTCTACTTGGTGCCATTTCTCCGTGTGGGCCACAGCTTCATCCGTTGCCACCTTGAAAGCAGATAACGGATTGTGCAAAGTTTTGAAATGTTTTGAAGGTTTGACTGATTTTTAGTTTGGGTGTGTTTTGACTTACGCTGATTTGCGCATCGTTTGCAGGCCGGGACTGGAAGAAACTTGCGGCCAAGCTGCAACTCAATGAGGTAAGGCGCAGCCATTCCATTTGCCGTTCCGGTGGAACTTCGATCTGTTTTCAATCAAAGCCATGCCAGGCACAACCTCGTTCATCTCACAACGGAATCATTTTTATCAGGTTCGGGCCTCAGGGGCTGTCCATGGCTGTCCTCGTTTGCTGGCAAAGACGGCATTGGTTCTTGAACTCATATGAAATCATATTTACATTTACCTCTGGCTCGTTGCCTTGAGAGCCCATCGAATTTCCACACACTGAGGGAGCCCAAGAGTGGCGCACAACTCTTCCTTGCAGACCGTATCAAGAGCCAGCACCCCAGTGACCGACATAGGCCGACCATTCAGCTCGCTCTGCCAAAAGACCGAAGTTCAGCCAAGGTCAAGGCCTGCTGCCTGAATCAGAGCGAGCAGTGCCCCACCCCAAGCGGCATGTACAAAAGGTTGGGATCTTAGTTGATCTTAGTTGTCATGTCAGTTCTGACAACCCAGTCGCTCGATGCCTTAAGAAGAAGAATGTCAGCTGGTTGCTGCTGTCACACGAAGCAATTGTTGATGCCCTTGGGGACTTGAGCTCTTAATGTCAGGCTCTACCTGGCGAGTCCTGTGCGGACATGTGCATCAGAATGGGTATGTTCAGGGCTCAGGAGCTGACTTTCGCTGGTCGTAATGAAGCAAACACTTTTCTCCTCGGTGAACGACATTCTAGGTCATTCTATTTGAAGTCAAGAACGGCTCCTGATCACATGCGCTTAACAGGTAAAGTTTCAACTTGTTCGAACGACAGTGGCTAAAGGCACTGCGCTGACCTGGAGCTGGAGTTTATCAACAACTGTGTTTGGTCCCCAGTTGCAGTTCCTTCATCTTCAATGTTCTCTCATGTTCCTCCTTGGGTATTTGGATGGACACGCGGGCCAGTCTAACATGGGGCTGAGCTAGTTGCTGTTTGGGCGAGCTGCCGCAGGCCGCACTGAAGGAGCATTTCCATTGTGAGGAAGGCACAGCTGAAGCATGCTGAAGCTGGATGCTGATTGGCTGCTGTCAGCTCTTCCCTCTTCATTTGGCATCCCATGGCATCCCCTTTTTAGAATTTATATGAATTTATTAATATTTATTATATAACAGTATTATAACAGTATTAAACTCCATTTACGTAAATGTACGACATGTTTATATACACGATTTTGCAAATTTGTGCCAGCGTGTGATTGATCGAATTGAGCCAAGCATCTCTTTCAGCAGGTTGTGGCCACCAAGTCGGGCAGGCAAGATTGTTTTAGCTGGAAGACAGTAATTGAAGAGCGCAGCATTGACAAGCTGTGTGCCATGCGTTCATTGAGGGTTTACAGGACAGTATCCAGGATACAGTACTGTAGTATCAAAAACCTTTGGTGCTCAGGAGATACCATGCTATGTCCACGAAGCCACCAGAGACACTGGCAAGCAGTGTCTGGTCACGGACAGCTGGGCAGCTTTGAAAAGAGGGGATTTCATAATTTTGATAGAAATCTTCAATTTCGTTTGAATCGTTTGTTTCCATGTTGATCCATGTTGTTCAACCGTAGCGCCGTAGGATGATGCAACTCCGCTTTGTTCATCGAAGAACCGGGCTACAACGCCACAGCCCCAGCAAACTTCAGTGGACAGTTGGAACTGACGTGCATGTGCATAGCATATGTGGACGTATTTGTCATGTTTCTACACCTTGAGCTCATGAGGAGACTTTGTTCGTGCATTCCTGCCTGAAGCCTGAATTCCAGTGGACCCTCAGCAAAAGAAGGCTAATGCAAGCTACTGCAGGGCCCATTTTGCTGATCTGAGTTCAAACGTTTATGCAGTCATTCATGCTTAGATTTCTGATCAGCAATGAGATTGCCATCGTCGCACCGTCTACCGTCGCATCATGTCGCATCTGACTCTTGAATGCTATGCAAGTATTTATGCCAAACGGCTTGGCTAGCTGCGAAGCGATGGCTTGCCCAGATCAAGAGAAATATTTTGGTTAATTATTATTTGACATAGCCAATGATACAAATGACTAATGAGGGTGATGTGATGCATGTCGGTGCTCGCAGCTCCTAATCTACGGCTCCTACCTCGCTTGTGGCGGTAATCGGTGCCAATCGCTTGTGGCAGTAAAAACGGCGGTTTTTAACTGCCGCAAGTGATTCTTTTTAACTGCCGCAGGTGATGCTGGTTTTTGCGTGGCAGGTGCAGCATTTCAAGGCCTTATCGCTTGTGGCGGTACTCATGCGTTTCTGTTTTTAATCGCTTGTGGCGGCGGTATGTCGGTGTTCTTGATGCCAGGGTATAAAAAACCAATCGCTTGTGGCAGTACGCTGCTGCGACTGATGCATTCTCGGATGCAGGGCAGGTTCTATGAGGAAGGAAACGACGTTGTGCACGTGCCAAGCTTTGATGCTTTTCACGCGACTTTGCGGCTGTTGCAAACATGAATTTTGTTGTGCCGTGGGCTGTGCTGCTGCTCTTGCAAGTCCTGTGGCTCAGATTCGGATGATGCATGTGTGCTTGTACATTAAAAGGCCAGACCCTGCTACGCAGACATGAGGCTTCTTAGGAGAAACTGCTGCTAGACTTGCGTGTGTTAGTTATGCTACTGGTATACGGTGACGTCGCTGCTATAACGGATTTGTTGTTGCTGCTGGTCATGGCTGCTGTAATGTGGCCGGCGCAGCAGGGCAATGTTTGATTTCGTACGGTGCTACATGTCGGCGAAAAGGGGTTGCATGTGGAGGGACGCGTGCGGATGTTATGCTACAAAGCTTTGTTGCACTCGCGCGCGCATACTTGACGTTACGTGTGGGAAAGCTTTTGTCTTAGCAGCTAGAAATTAGCCATATTGTTTTCCTCAAGCGAAATGTAGATCCTACTGAATCCTATTCTTTTCTTCCCTCCCCAAGGTTGAAGTGGGATGGTAAGTCTCAGGAAGTCGAGTAGCGGTTGTGTCCCTATAATGAAGTTAAGCAACGGGTGTGGCTGGTAGATCTTACCCTTTTCTTCCCTAGCCCCACCCCATCCCCCAAGGTGTGCTGCTATCAACCTATTCTCATCCTCCCCTACGTCTAGGCTCCCCTAACGTATTGTTTCACTGCCGCAAGTGATTGGCTTTAAAGATTCTTACTGCCGCAGGTGATTTTTTTTGAACAGTTTTTACATGTTTTTACTGCCGCATGTGATTCTTGGAATACTGCCGCAAGTGATTTGTTTTTACTGCTGCAAGTGATGGGTTACCCTAATCGACCATTGGGCTCCATCGGGCACTGATTCAGCGCCTGTCACCCAAGGTGGAATTGATGGCTGAATGATTTTGCCCGCAGATGCTTGCCATGGTGGCTTTCTGAATATTGATTCAAAGGCTAATGTGCTTACAAGTCTTGAATTTTAGATGTTTGAAAGTCTGCTCCCAAAGTTGGCGCGGAAATTGCAGGCCAGGAGCTACTCATGCGGTCAGTAAAAAGGATGGCTTTGATGCACGGGTTGGCTTTTACATTTCGCATGGCTCAGAAGTCTTCACGCATTACTCATGTTCTTGAAAGCAGACCAACAAGTGGGCAGCCAACTTGTGGTTGATATCGGCTGCATCAATGTGCGTCTTGTAGAGGTATTGGGAGCCCATTTGTGAGTGCAACTTGGAAACTTGGCCCTTGGATGCCCGTGGTACATTAGCTCAAACTGACGTTCGAATGCTGGAACTGCATGCTTCACTTCTGGAAGAAATGCTGAGGTGATCCCCTGGCTACTTGCTGCTTTGTCAAAATGCTTTAGCCTTAAGCCAGAACAATGGGGAGGCTGATTTACCTGGACAATCTCCGGAGCATTCTCTCAGTTCTGGTGGTGGGACATCATAGTTTTCTGGCAGCTTCGGGCTTGGGCCGTTGGTATTGTTCATCTGCTGAGCGCCATGACGAACAGATCGCCATGGCGTTTGTAGCCACGATCCTTTTCACCTCGCAGGCGTTTCTTACAGGACTACTTTTTGGTGTCGCTGGACTTCTTATGCCCAGATCTTTGGCAAAGAAAGGGCCTTCAGGGCACATGGTCTCTCGGCTTTGGCGCCTTGGGCTCCCTGTGTTGCTCGTAGGTCTTCCAACTCACCACTTGTCTCAATGGCTCGGGCACAAGCTGTCAAAGGCAAATGTGAAATTGTCAGAGTCTGAGAGCGCCTCTTTCCAGCTGAGTTCAGGGCCCGGCGTGGCTTGGTTTGAGCTTTGGCTCCTGACCTTTGAGAGCATTTTCGTGGTCCTGAGAGGCAGCCAACCCATCAAGATTGTACCTCAAAACTTCAGTTTCTTGAAGGTATTCTGCATCCTATTGGCGATTGCCATTGTACAATATTCTGTGGAGATGCACCTTGCAAAGCCTTTGGCTGAATTTCTCCCAGGATGGAAAGGACTTGCCCACCACATTATTCACACGCCGCTCTATGGTTTTTGCTTCCTATGCGGCTCCTTGTCGGACAGCACAGCTTTGCTGACTATGCTTAGGGTTCACACGAAGCCACTAAGCATTACATCTGGCTTGGCCATCGGCCTTTGCTTCCTTTTTGCCCTGGGGAGGCAGCAATCCCAGCCAGAGAGAGCTGTCAACCCGTCAGCGGTCGCCATTGGTTCTATCATGACAGTTCTGATATGCGCGGGTGCGTGCAATGGAGTTCTGCAGCGCTTCAACACCCACCATTCAGCCGTGTCAATCCTGAGTGATGTCTCATGCCTGAGCTATGCAGTCAATATGTTGCACCCAGTGGTTGTAGTCCTGCTTACCCCACTGGTGGTTGAACTACCCCTGGGATTGCTTGTTCAATGCATTTTGCTATGGTTGGCTTCAAGTCTGGCCAGCTTTGCAGTGGCTGCTTTGCTGCGGAGTTCTCCGTACGTGCGGAGGCTCTTATAAAGATGCTTGAAAGCTGGAGAGATTGAGACAGATTCCGATCGACATAAGGCGCCACAGAGCCCTTTAAGCAACTGGTCCTTTCTGATCCTTTCTGACGTGCTGACGCGCTGAGTCCTTTGCCAGGCCTTGTGAGAAGGAGGGTGTCATCGTTGGCGACAATTCACAGATTCAAACACGACTACGAAAAGGAAGAAGGCACTTGGCTGATACTTCATGCCCAGATCTGCGAGTACAGAACGGACGACTTACTCTGCCTTCACTGAGACAGAGAATGCGATGCCTTGCGTCTGATTTCCTTTCAGGGTCCCAAGTTTCACATCCCCGCACCTTGCTACCCGTACCGGGGTGTGTGAGAAGCATTGGCACCACTCGGTGGATAGAACATGATAGAACATGATAGAACTGCGCCCTTGAGCAATGGCAGCAAACTCTGACCATCTGTGACCTGTGGCTGGTTCATACGCTCAAACATATGAAACATACCAACCTACTGTTAGAAAACATCAAAAAGACTCGTTGACTGGCTGATTTGAACAGCACCTTACGTGATAAACTCTGACAGACTGTGTTTGTGGCTCCGTTACAGGAAATCATGGGAGGCAATGCAATTGAAGTCCATTCGAGATATGACTTGAGCAAGTTAACTGGAGCAAAGAAACACATGCATTCGTCAACATATTGAACATGTGTTCATTAACCAGCAGCTGTGGCTGACCCTCTAGGCCTATTTCGTATCAGTACTTCAAGTCATGTCATACTCTCAGTTCTGAGAAGACCCAAAGTCATGAAACTCCCAGCCGCTGTTGTGCTGCCATGTCATTGCCAAAATGGATCGAGACGACGGAGCCTCCTTCCTTTAATCATTTTGCCATTCATTCACGCAGTCCTTTGGTTGGATCTCAGCTTTGTTTCCGCGCGGACTGACGCCTCTTATTTGTCTCGAGCGGGTGGTGGAGAGCTTGTGCTCAAATCACGGGTTCCAAGGTTTGTGACAAGTGAGGTAGCAGAGCCCAGAGTTCAACTTGATCACCAAGTCAGCAGAACTGTTTGGAAAGACGCAGCGCTTGCTGCTGTTTCTGCCCTACAGAGTGGGTCCAATGCCACCACCATTTTGATGCCAAGTGGTGCTGGTGATGTGCAAGTTGGTTTGGAGACAGTGCGGAGCTTTGTCGACACCACCGACCTTCCACATTTCCGTATTGTTGTTGCAATCCCTAGCTCCTTGGCTTCTGCAGCGCAAAAGTTGTACGCTGAGACTTTTGCAGAAGACTCCATAACACTCATGACTTTGGGAACAGGTGTGTCAAAACATCAAATAGCCAGTGCATTAAAGCAGAACTCCTCCACAATTCTGCTATGCCCTTATAGCATGATGTTGAAGTTCGGCCTCGCTTTCATCGAGTCCAAGATCAAGACACCAATGGACTTGATCATCTTCGCTACTGCCCACATCCTGCGCGCTGGAGGTTTCCATAGTCTAGGTGCCAGAGATGATATCCTTCCAGCGAATCGAAGGGTTTTTATTTCAGCTAGGCATATGTTTGGCATGGCACCTGGAGCTCTTCTAGCTCCAGGACAGGAGCCAGGTTTTCCCGAAGAGGCTCCACAGAGCAAGTTTGGGCCCGAAGTCTATCGACTGGCCCATGATGATGCGGAGCGGAAGGAAATGACGGTGCCGATACGTTTGCAGATTATCGAGTCAACCAAGGTGTCTGATGTAGCCAAAGAGCTGGTAGATCTGCATGTGAAGTTAGGAATCAACTCCATCTATATTGCGCCCGAGCAGCCGCGACTGGCAGCTGCGTTGTCTGAGCTGCTCTCGGAATTGACAGATGGACGCTGCAAAGTGACTACCGGTGCAAACAATTCTGAGGCATCAATTGATGCTCTCCTTGTCTCCGGAAGTCAGCCTAGCTATGTTGAGCTGGCTCAGGAGTTTCCACGGCTGGCTAAGTGGCAGCCTGAGAAGTCCAATGGCTTCATCATCGCGGCAGGTGCTGCTAAAAACCATGCAGCTGCCGCCTGGATGGCCTTCGCCATTGAGGATTCACGTGCCGAAGAGGCACTCCAAAGAACCTCCGTGGAATTTGGACGTGTTGACAGGCGCCTGAAGTGGAATGAACTGCCCTACGAGCTACGCAGCCTGGTAAATCGAGGTGCCAGGAGGCAAGCTGAAATCGCCATTGCTCGCGGGGTGGAGGCTTTGGGAGATCCGTGGGATATTTGGCTTGGCCGCCTGTTGGCATACCAGGATCGACATAAAAATGCAAATGCAAGGTTTTTAGCGACCCAATTCGGGCATGAACTCGGAGCTTGGCTTCAGAGCCAGCGGCAGCAATGGGAGCGAGGAACCTTGAAAGAGAGGAAGGTTGCACGCTTGAAAGGCCTGGAGCTTTAAAACAAGATGCCCACGAACCCGAATGCAGTCACGTAGAACACTTTTGTGAAACAAGTTATATATTTGAAATTATTTGAACAGTCTTGTACATGTTTCTCCTGTTACCGTGCCAGTGCACTGTAGACTGCGGAAAGCGGAAGAGGGTGGAGTGTAAAGTGTGGAGTGCAGAGTGTGGAGTTGTAAAGTGTAAAGTGGTGAGTGTGGAGTGTCGAGTGTGGAGTTTAAAGTGTAGAGTGTAGAGTGTAGTGTAGAGTGTTGAGTGTAAAGTGTGGAGTGCAGAGTGTGGAGTGTAAAGTGTGGAGTGTGGAGTGTATATAAAGTGTAAACCGTGGAGTGTAGAGTGTCGAGTGTAGAGTGTGGAGTGTAAAGTGTGGAGTGTGGAGTGTGGAGCGTAAAGTGTAGAGTGTGGAGTGTAAAGTGTAGAGTGTGGAGTGTAAATTGCAAAGTGTGGAGTGTAAAGTGTAGAGTGTTGAGTGTAAAGTGTGGAGTGCAGAGTGTGGAGTGTAAAGTGTAAAGTGGTCAGTGTGGAGTGTCGAGTGTGGAGTTTAAAGTGTGTGTGTAAAGTGTGGAGCGTAAAGTGTGCAATGTAGAGTGTGGGGTGTAAAGTGTAGAGTGTAGAGTGTGGAGTGTGGAGTGTAGAGTGTGGAGTGTGGAGTGTAGAGTGTGGAGTGTAAAGTGTGGAGTGTGGAGTGTAAAGTGTGGAGTGTACAGTGTAGAGTGTGGAGTGTAGAGTGTGGAGTGTAGAGTGTGGAGTGTAGAGTGTAGAGTGTGGAGTATAAAGTGTAGAGTATTGGAGAGTGTAAAGTGTGGGGTGATGTAGAGTGTAAAGTGTGGAGTGTAAAGTGTAGAGTGTGCAGAGAGTGCGGAGTGCACAGTGTCAAGTGCAAAGTGTGGAGTGTAAAGTGCAAAGTGCGAGGTGTAAAGTGCAAAGTGTGGAGTGTAAAGCGTAAAGTGTGGAGTGTGAAGCGTCGTCGCGTGTCACAACATGCCACGTCTGCCACGGATTTAGTCATTGTCACCACCTGACGCAGCCCTGACACTGGTATTCGCAAAAAAAACACGCAACACGACACGTTTGAAGTGCGGCGCCTGCCACGCAAAATGACAATGGATGTCTCCAAAGTGATGCGCCTGCCACGAAAAATGCAATTAAGCTTGTGAAAACGGCGCGAAAGTATTGCGCTTGCCACACAAAATGAATTTCAATACGTTTCCAGAATTTTCCAGACACATGAGAATGTCAGGAAGTGCCACGCATGCCACGCAAAACCACATTACAACTTGCTTTGACACCTTCGAGAAGGAAAAGTTTTGCAGCTTCCGCCCTAGACATGGCGAGGCCACAGGAAAATCAGAGACTGGAGACGAGACATGTTGGAGCAAAAACATGCAAAAACCAGCATTTCGTGCGAGACTTCCTCCAATTTTCACACTTGTAGCTTCAAAACCGCTGTTTGCCTACGAGTTTTCCTTAAAACCTGAAAATTTGCAACCCCAAAATCGATGTTTCGTGCGAGGGTTCTGCCAATTTTCATCACATCTCGCAAAATGCAACGTGGCAACGTTTGCCACGGAATTTGCACCTTGTCGCCACCTGACGCAGCCCTGGCAATGCGATTCGCAAAAAGCACGCAACACCTTAAAGTGCTGTGCCTGCCCCGGCAAAATGACGATGGACATGTCCAAAGTGCTGCGCCTGCCACGAAAACTGCAACGCATCTTCTGAAAACGTCGCCAAAGTATTGCGCCTGTCACACAAAACGACTTTCGACACGTTACGAAACACAACTGTCACGAAGTGCCACGCCTGCCACGCGAAACGAAGCAACGCGACGCTGGAAACCTGCAAATGTGACCCCTGTTGCAAAACTTGCCATAGGCACGGCCATACGAGCCTCACGCGAACGGTTGTGGACGGCTGCGAACGGTTGGGAACAGTCGCGCCACGTCGAGCGAACACGCCCTCAACCCCCAGACCCCTAGAGTGAAACGGGAACCCTTGCTATGCATTCGTTGCGCATCCAAAGCTGTTGTGATCACTAGACTGTAAATTTCCATGCGCTCACTTTGCGTGTTTCTTGTCACCTAGCAAACCATGGGTCTGATCTATGATGGTCATTGTTTATAAACGTCTACCACGTGAAAGGGTCTTCAGTGGAAAAGATCGAGAGTTGAGAGGCTTTGATGTATATGCTGGGCTCTTGTTGCAAATGGATTTGGTTCTTTGGGCAAGAGAACGGTATGAGGACGGCAAAGCATTTGCCCAAAGCCAAGGCCATTGGTACAATTTCCTTTGTTCCGAAAACATGTGCAATTCTTGGTTGTTTAATGGGTACTAGTCACGTTGCTCCAAAAGGCGTCAGGTATCTACGTATATGAAAGTGTTTTAACAGGCCTCTTTTTTAGTGACTATCAGTGTACGGTGTAAAAGGGTTCCTTACGGATCCCTACCCTCTTAAAAATGTGTTTTTTTTTTGGGGGGGGGGGGAAGTCGTACTGAAATGTCGTTTTAAAATTCAATTCAATTTTTGCATTTTTTTTCAATGATCAACATTCCTCGTCATTCCATATCATTGGCAAACAGATGAAAATTAAATACTTGCGCTTAGCTCCGGAGGAGCTAAGCACATGTCAGACTGAAGCGGCTCATGTGTAGGGGTGGCATCCTTCCAAAAATTGCGTTGCCATCATCATACTCGCGCGTAGCTCCTCCAGAGCTAAGCGCAAGTATTTTCTAACCAGTGCCCAAGGCTTGTCAAGAAATGTTACTTTTGAAATTCCATTTGAGCAATTGGATCACTATCCCAAGGTTTCCAAGCAAAAAAAGTGGAATTCGACAGGTTGGTTTTGTTCCCCCCCCGCCCTCCCCCTCTACAGGGGTAGGGATCCTTACGGAACTCTTTCTGAGAGTTTTGTTCGTTGTTTTTTGGCAAGCAACGTTTCATGTGGGGGTTGTTGTAAGACTTACATTCTCTGTTTGGACCTTTTCAAGGAAGTTTTTGGGATCTTTGTGTGAAATGGACTGATGTTGGACATACTTAGAGCCAGCATCACATGCACCAAAAAAATATTGTTGATGCATTTTTCTGCTTTTCCTCGCTGTACCCTCGACTTCAGTTTTGTAATTGGTCGGGCTCGAAGCCTAGTTTGAAAAAGTGCTGGTTTGAAGGCCTTGGCGTCATGCTAGACCCAGATGTGGAGATGTTTGCGAAAGGCTTATCGGAGCTTCGGATGTATGTCTCCCAGCAGCGGAAACGTGTGGTGCCATGGAACTATGTTTCAGACTCCAGCTTCAGATTAGGTGGGGCTTCGAGATTTTTTTTGCACATGTTCGCCGGGGTTTTGGTTCGCAACCAATAATTTGGCGAAACAAATTGATATTAGGACAGATTCCTAAACACATGGTGATCGATCTAAAGGTCCTTGTAAGGAGTTTTAATTGCGAAAGCCGTGCATGTTATGTTGGAAACCCTCGCGAA